ACGCTGAACTCCAAAGGCAAGTGAATTACCTCCTCCACAAAGGATTCATTCGTGAGAGTTTAAACCCGTGTGCTGTCCCTGCCCTATTGACGCCAAAAAAAGATGGTTCTCGGAGAATGTGTGTGGATAGTGGCGCTATCAATAGGATCACGGTAAGTATCGTTTTTCCATTCCCAGACTTGATGATATGCTAGATATGATGATTGGTGCGACAATCTTTTCAAAGATTGATCTGAAAAGTGGATACTATCATATTAGAATTCGCTCAGGTGATGAGTGGAAGACCGCTTTTAAAACGAAAGATGGTCTTTATGAATGGCTAGTCATGCCTTTTAGGCTAAGCAACGCGCGAGTACCTTTATACAGGTAATGACACAGACTCTTCGACCTTTCATGGGTAAGTCTCTTGTTGTCTACTTCGATGATATTCTCATCTATAGTAAGACTAAGAAGCAACACCATGATCATCTTACACATGTTTGCTCTACCCTACGTGCAACTAATCTGTATGCTAACGTCAAGAAGTGCTCTTTTTTCACCGTTACAGTCGTTTTCTTGGGGTTCATTGTCTCTTCGACAGGGGTATCTGCTGACCCTGCCAAGGTTCAGGCGATTCTTGACTGACCTGTACCTAAGACTATTTATGACGTAAGGAGCTTTCACGAGTTAGCTAAATTTTATTGCCGCTTTATCAAGGGGGTTAGCACTATTATGGTGCCTATTACGGAGTGCATGAAGAAAGGAGAGTTTCTTTGGACACAAGAAGCGGCTAACGCCTTTAAATTGGTCAAGAAGCGAATGGCGAAGGCCCCGGTCATGCGTCTTCCAAACTTTTCCAAAGCCTTTGAGGTTGAATGTGATGCCTCCAGGATAGGTATAGGCGGAGTCTTGAGTCAAGATCTTCATCCTGTTGCCTACTTTAGTGAGAAGTTAAATGAAGCCAAACAACGGTATTCAACTTATGATAAGGAACTGTATGCGGTGGTCCAAGCTTTGCGCTATTGGCGCCACTATTTGTTGCCCTAGGAGTTTGTCCTTTATTCGGACCACGAGGCCCTCCGTTACCTCAACTCCCAGAAAAGATTAAGCTCTATGCATGATCATTGGATTGAATATTTGCAGGTCTACTCATTTGTTTTAAAACACAAGAAGGGGGTGGAGAACCAAGCAGCCGATACATTAAGTCGTCGTGTCTCCCTTTTGTCGATCATGAGTGTCAAGGTCATCGGTTTTGAAAGGCTTAAGGAGGGTTACGAGTCATGCCCCCGATTTTAAAGATATCTCGCTAACAAAGGGGACAATCGGGCACCACAAATGGCTTTCGACTTGAGGAGGGTTATCTCTTTAGAGCCAATAAATTGTGCATCTCTCGAATTTCAGTGCGAGATTTCATAGTGTGGGAAATTCATGCAGGAGGTTTAGCCGATCACTTTAGGCGTGATAAGACCATAGAGGACGTTGAACGCCAATTCTATTAGCCTAGTTTAAAGAAAGATGTTGCTAAGATTGTTAGTACATGTAACACTTGTCAATTGGCCAAACAGAAGAGGTAAAACACAGACCTTTACACTCCTCTTCTCGTCCCCAATTATCCTTAGCAAGATGTTAATATGAATTTTATGTTAGGACTTCTACGCACCCAAAGAAACATGATTCTATTTTTGTTTCTCAAAAATTGCTCATTTTATCCCCTATAGCAAGACATCAGATGCGTCCAAGGTTGTCATGTTGTTCTTTAATGAGATTGTCAAATTATATGGGCTTCCCAAGACTATTGTATCGATGGGGATGTTCGTTTCACTAGCCATTTTTAGAGAACTTTGTGGTAAAGGATGGGTACCAAATTGAAGTTTTCTACGATCTACCACCCTCAAACTGACGATCAAACTAAAGTAGTTAATCGTAGTCTTGGTAATTTGTTACGATGTCCGAACCGAGAAAATCTTCGTAATTGGGACTTCATCCTTCCTATAGCCCAGATTGCGTATAACAGTTCCATAAATCGTTCATTAGGTATGAGTCCATTTGAAGCTGTTCATACGTATAAGCCTAGGAAACCGTTAGATCTCATTCCTATGTCCCCCACAGGCTAGAGTGTCAGTGTCAATCGAAACATTTGGACAACATCTTTGTAATTTGCATATTGAGATCAATAAATAACTTGAAGCCAGTAATGCAAAATATAAACTCCAAGCTGATTTGCATAAACGACGTGTTGAGTTTAACATTGGGGATTACGTCATGGTCCGCATTAGGCCAGAGCGGCGTCTACATGGACCCACCTCCAAATTGCAAGCTCGTAGTGTTGGTCCTTTTATAATTTTAAAGCAGATTGGTCCAAATGCATATGCTGTTGACATTCCACCACACCTTGGTTACTACTCTACTTTCAATGTTGAGGACCTAGTAGCTTATAAATGTCATTTCATTCCCTCAGATGATCCTCTGTTACCTCCTTTTGTGGACCTTGAACCTGATTCTTTAGCCACTTCTACCTCACTACCACCTCTTACAGCACACAACGATAAAATCTATGTTATTTTAAATGAAGAAATTGTGTTAACTAATGATGAAGAGGTTCAGCGCTTCCTTGTTCGTTAGGTTGCTCGACCAGATTCTGACTGTACATGGATCTCCAGAAAGACACTATATAAATTGAATCTAGATTTATTGGAGCTTTATCAAAGTCAGTAGGATCTTCCTTGGCCCAGATTGCTTCCTGTCCACTCAGGAGGGGCTGGTGAGGACGCCAGATTCAGACCTCCACTGACATATTTCTATAGACGTCGGAAGACGCTTGCCCAGCCACTTAGCTTATAGTTGGGAGATTGACGGAAGCCTATAGTGATATATCCACTCGACAGGGTCGAGTTTTGTCCCACCCCCGAGAGAATTGATGAGGACATCGGATATTTATTTATTTTATTTTCTAGTTAAACTTTATTTATTTTCTTGAACTATTATTTAGTGAATTGGACTTGTATGGGCTCGGGCCCAATCTCGTTAACATTTGTTTTACTATTTAAACCTATTTTGCATTGTAATTTCTCAGTTGATGATTGAATAATATTTTGGTGGCTTATGGCGAATTCCTCTCTTACTATTTTCTTTTTCCTCTTCTGTTGAATCTTCTTCTTCCCCATTTTTCTCTTTGATTCCCTCTCTCTGTAGATCTGTTCTATTTCTCCATTAATTATCACGTTGATGCTGCATCAAATTTGGTATCAGAGCCAAACATTGGGTAATTTCTTTCTCCACAATCCAAAATTTCGTCCCATCTTTTTTTTTCCCTAAAATTTCTTCATGTTGAATAGCATAAACGAAAATAATTTGTGGTAACAACATCATTTTTTTCCTTCAATTTTCTTTCTTAGTTGAAAAAAAAATTAAAAAGAGAGAGAAAGAGTTACTGTTCACACCCGGGGGAAAAAAATTTCGTTTACGACTGCTGCTTGATGAACCACATTGCTATTCCATAAATTTCAACCCTAAAACCCTAGCCACAATTGGCCCACATACAAAACCAGTCCAACTCTTGCTAACCCAAGCCCCATAAGAATACATATACCCACCTTTATTAAAACATCGTCGGCCCAATCCATAATAACCAGTCCAAACTATTCAGCCCAATTCCACTCACAAATCCAATCCACCCCAATCCACTCTAACCCATCTTCCTGAACCCAACCAATAACTCCTAAACCCATATACTCAAGACCCAATCCACCCCCACTCTAACCCGTCTTCCAAAACCCAATATCCCAGAAATCGTTCAACCTTCCTTTGTCGGAATCACCGGCGCATCCCATCTTTGCCGCAACCAGCCACCATCTTGGTTTCTTCTCTACACACACATCATATGTTCAACTCTCCTTTGCGGTCTCGACAACCAGTGCCGCGAAAAATAAATAAAGTTTAACTAGAAAATAAAATAAATAAATATCCGATGTCCTCATCAATGGGTAACATAGATTTTTCCATTTGAGTGATGGATTAATAATACGGTGCATGGTTCAATAACCATTGAGATATATTATTGAATTCAATTATGAAGTGATAACTTTTAGCAAAATTCAGTGACTATTGAGATACATTAAGCTCGATTATTAAGTAATAACAATTTCTTTTTTCCTCAAATCAGCCTCTATGAAAGAAGAAACTAACGAAAATAAAGGGAAAAAAGTTAAAAAATCCAATCGACCTCATTTACATTGGTAATAATTCGAACATTTTTGTATTTTTTCAAAATTTTTCTGTCATTTTCTTTCAGTGTTCCTAGTGTTTCTTTTTTAATCGTTTTATACGAAATTCGAGATAAGGTGAACTGATGCCAGTTGATCTAAAAATCAAATGTACTATTCATCTTAATGGAGACTATATCGAACAATAATAGAACTTTTTCCCCTTTATTTTCTTTAGTTTCTTCTTTGACACATGTCGGTTTGAGCAAAAAATAAATTGTTTCTATTTAATAGCCGAACTTAAAAATGTATCATGATGGTAAATTACGCCAAGTGTTACTGCTTCATAACTAAACTAAAAATGTATCTCAATGGTCACTGAACTATACACCGTGCTACCCATTCATCACAAAAATCGACACCTTTGTTGAACTTAAAGATTTTTCTATTTGAGTGATGAATGGGTAATACAGTGCATAGTTCATTTAGTTCATTTATGAGTGAGATATATTTTTAGTTCAGTTACGAAATAGTAACACTTGATGAAATTTAGTGACTAAGTAGTAATATATGGTAAAGTTCATTAACCATTCATGTAATTAACCCGCAAAGGATTCCTTAACAGATACAAGCATCAAAGCAGTATCCTAAAATAATTTCTGCTCAGCCAAATCTTATTATTCACTAGTTAATAGCCCACAATTTCTTCATTGATACACAGTAATTTATTGCAGGGAGAAAACAGTATTTATTAAGAAAACCAATCAAACAAAGGAAGAAAATAGAATACGCCACATTATTCGGTGAGCATTGACAAACCTCACTTCAACTACAGCACCAAGAGCTTGAAGCCCACGGATATAAATATCAATTGGCCGAGCCCAAATATCACATCCACCGGGCAAACCAACCACAGCCTCACCAAACCGGCCAAGCAGAGGACCAATAACGAAGAACCCACCTCGAATCTTGGCAATGCCACTCAATTCAGGTTCTACAGACCCGACAAGGTCAGTGTTTCACCATCTCATTATTAGAAATCAGAATTTCAGCACCTAAAGAGTACAAAATGGAAGCCATCATTCTTGTATCAGATAAATTCGAAACATTTGTTAGCTTCGAAGTGCCTGAACAGCAGAGTGCCGCTTCTAGGATTGCTAATGCCGAGTTCTTGGAGCCACTTAAGCTGACATGGCCCGACAGCCTGGAACCACCGTTTATTATGAGTTTTGCGTCCCATTTTGCGTGCAAGTCTGAGGAAAGCATCCTGGGATTTTCGTAGTTATGGATTTTGGGATGTGGGAGACTTAAAGCTGGAGAGCTAAGAGTGGAATTCGGGTTCGAGTTGAAGGTTGAAGCCATTTTCGGGTTCAAATTTCCCCAGTTGCCAACAACCGTCACCCTTCAGAAATCCATTTTCAAGAATCCACCGTCGTGATTATTTGATTTAAAAATAGAGACTTGCGGAGTAGTAGGAATGGGTGTGAAGTCATAGGGATAAGGGATGGTCGAGAATGGATGAATGGTGGCAAGTGGAACTGGGGGCGTGTGGGTGGGTGGTTCAGCCATTCGAGGAAGATGAATGATGGCATGTGTTCTTTTTATTAAGTTGTAAAATTTAATTATTATTGATCATTCTATGAATCGACATCAACGATGAGGTCGTTGTGGAGGTTGGAACAGGGGCAAGAAGCCACCGAATCAAAATTTCATTAAGAGCGGTGTAAAAATTTGTGTCATTATAAATTTCGTTTTAGAAATTTGAATCCTTGTAAAAAAAATTTCCTAATTCCTCCAAGGAAGATGAATGGTGGCATTTGTTCTTTTTATTAAGTTGTAAAATCTAATTATTATCAATCGTTCCATGAATTGGCATCCGCAATGAGGTCGTCATGGATGTTGGAACACAAGCAAGAAGCCACCGTATCAAAATTTCATTAAGGGCGGTTTAAAAATTTCTGCCATTATAAATTTTGTTTTAGAAATTTGAATCATTGTAATTTTTTTTCTAATTCCTCCTATAAATCACCCTTCATTGCACTTTAGGGAAGAAAGTAAAATTATGCAAAAATAGTGAAGGTTGTTGCCCTCGCACTTTGCATCTCAGCCCTTGCAACCATTGCCCACTCCCACTCAAAGAAGTTTTCGACGTCGAGAGTGATTTTTTATTGTGATTTGTATCGTATTCAATTCGAAATAACTTGTACTATAGTCGCATGTTATAACATAATCCCAAGGGGATCCTGAGTCAAGGTGGATGAGGCTCGCGCCTTAAGCCCAAAATAAAAGGGGGCCTGATTTTTTGCCCCTTTTTTTTATTAAAAGAAGAAAATGAAAATTCTATTTTTCATTCCTTTCCTCCGACTCTGGTCGACGCTGCGAGGCTCGTGACTCCTATGACTCCAACTCCAACCCCAACCGAAGCGGATGCCAGGCGACGGCCTCATTTCCTTAGGGGGCTTCTTCTTCCCTTCCCTTCACTCTCTTACAAATTACAACTTAGAGAACAAATCACAAAACAAGCCGGCCCTTTTTCCAACCCCAACCACATGATATTTCCCAGGTGTGCTTTCAAGAGAAACACAACTGGGAAGTTAGGGGAAAATTCAGTTTAATAGAAGCCTACAAGAAAAATATCTTTTGGAATTTTGTAAAACCTATATTTTAACTTCGGTTAATCAAATCACCATCCCAAGATTTTCGAGACCATTTTAACTAATTTTTGCTTTTACTCAAATGGTTTTATCTTTTTGCTTCTCTTTCAAATCTTTTCTGAGGGCTTCATAAGTTTTAAGTTTTTTGGTTAGGTTTATGTTAACTTCTGCAGAGAATAAGAAAGTGGGTTGGCCTTAAAGATTGGACGTTGGAAGGATTAAAAGCCGAGTTTTGGTAGTTGTTGATATTAATATAGGGTTTTACTGGTTTTGAGGCATTTGTTAGAAATCCAATCTTTAGTTTTTGAAGGGTCATCGTGTTTGTGTGTGTGTGTGTGTGTGTGTACGGTGACATAAATTGACAGTTGAAATGTTGAGTGCAAATTTGTTTCACGGTAGAAAGAATTCATGGCCACCATAGGAATGTATCAATCGAAACACTGCATTTGGTGAGCATTGTTCTTGATTTGTTTGAATATTATATTGGCAAAAATTTTAAGTTTTTTCATAATATTTTGATTCTACAAAGTGTAATGAGACTTGAGTTCTGTTAATGCTGTTTCCAGAATTATCTTCTCTATGGTTTGGTTTCCACTTTTTGATTTTTGAAAATAGTTAAATATGATTTTTGATATCTAATTTCGTAGTGATGCTACCAAAAAATGTCACCTGAAAGATCTCGAGCTTGATGGTGCAACTTCAATTTGATGAACACAACCGGTCTGTGATTACCTGCAACAAAAGGCAACGAGATGTGTGCTCGTCGCCCCTCCGATGCTTAAGTCAGATAGAAAATTTAGTGCGTGAGGCTATAAACTGAAGATAATGAAAAACATACCTTAGTGTTGAGCTTTGGCCAAGTATTTATAGGTGTTGGTGGGGGAGCTGTAGAAGGATTCTATTATTGAAAGAGTCCTTTCCCCTTTAGGATTAGGTGTTGGAGTTTGATTAGAAGTATTCTGTTAGAGTTCTAATCAGGGGAGGAGTAGACTTAAGTGGGGTCTATTTTCTTTTGGAGATTAAGTCGGTGGACAGGGTCGGATTAGAGACCCCGACCTTAAGGAAACCCCGACCTCAAACCGGCATAACACATTAAGATCAACTCGGGGGTATTAGGTCGAGGTCGAGCATGGCACTCGAATTCGTATAGTTCGGGGTTACCAATCCGGAATCATCATAGGCCCCCGTGCATCTGAGTTGTAGATCATGAAGGGTATACGATCTTGGATTGAGATGCAAAAAGGATGTCGTGGCTTGATATCAACCTCGACACCTGTCAATTACCTGTTGGAGATATACAATGTCACGTGTCTGTCATGTGGCTGGTTGTCAGAGCTCGAACTTGGATCTTTGCCACGTGTTCCGTTTTAAGGGTTTTAGATTAAGTGACTGTTGGTATGCCCATGACCCCTATAAATACCCCACTATTCATTTTCGCTTTTTCACTTTTTCCTCTCCACTCTCTGTAAAAGAAGCTCGAGTTCGGGGATAGTGGGTTGTGAGCGATCTCCATTAAGGTAAGAGTTCGAGCCTTTAAATTATTAATTATTTGAGTAGAGTAATGTCGAGTAGTAGCAGTAGTGGTAGTGGTAGTGGTAGTGGTAGTGGTAGTAGTAGCAGTAGGGGGTCGAGTAATAGTGACAGTAGTAGGCTTTCTAAGAGTTCGGGGGATAATGAGAACCCTACTGCCCCTAGTATAGCTGTCGAGGCTCCGGGTGATCATAGTCGAGATCTTGTCACCCTGGCCTTTCCTGTTAGCTCGCACTCTCCAGGAGAGGCATTGACTTATCCAAAGAACCCGACGATTTATAAAGAACATGTAATTATCAAGATAGCTAGAGAGTTCGGGGTGATGCCCATTTGTGATATTAGGGTTCCTGAAAATACCAAAGATATCGTAGGAGCTCGAGAGAGGGAGATGACGTTTTTTAGGGATGCCCTTAAGGCTGGGATGCGGTGGCCTTTTCACCCCTTTTTTATCCACTTTCTAACTTCGTTTTATATGTGTCCGGGCCAGTTAGCTCCTAACGGTTGGAGGCTTTTGGTCTATTTCTTTATATTATGTAGATGCCTCGATATCGAGCCTAGGGTCGACCTTCTGAGGATGGTGTATGATATGAAGTATTCGCCAGGGTTCAACTGTTTTGGGTATTTGTCAACAAAGGGGAGGTTTAGAACGCCTAATATCCCGAGCTCTCTTCGGGGTTGGAAAGAGAGATTTTTCTTTTTAAAGCCCCAGGATCTCGACCATCCCTTTAGCCCAAGGTGGGAGATCCCTAGTAAGGATCGGTTTAATGAGGGTCGGGCTTATTTTGAGGTTCTAGAGAGGGACAGATTAAGGTTAGTTAACCACGACCCCTTGGTAGAGAAGATTGATTATTTGCTCGAGGATGACACCCTCGACCTTGCAAATGTAAAAGGCCTCGAGGGTATGTTTTTTACTTTTTAAGCTCTATCATTGTATTCTTGACGTCGAGATCGTGCTAATGTTTTATGATTTGTTTCTTGTAGATCTTGAGATGTCTTTTGATCCGTCCAAATTGTTGGCCAATGTCCACCATAAGGCCAAGGGGCCGATGTCCAAAGCCCCGGCCTCAAAAAAGGGAAAGAAGAGGGCTAGACATGCCGATGTTAGGGTCCCGAGGTTCCTCTTGAGAGCTCGGTGCCTCCTAGAGGTCAACCCTCGACGTCAAAGAGCCCGACCTCAACACCTCGTCCGAAGTCGAAATATGAAGATCGAGCTCGGGGCAGCTATGGCGTCGCGGATTCAGGCTTCGAGCCTATTTCAGATAGTGCCCTCGAGGAATACACAGAGTATGTCCTGGTGAAGGACCTTGTTGAAAGGTTCGAGAAGGAGGTCAACATCAATGAAGGGGTCAAGACACTGGAGGCTTTGACCTTAAGGGTAAGATACCGAACTTAACTGTATTTTTTATTTTTTAATCTTCTTTGATCGAACTGACTTCGGGTTTCCTTTCTTTCTTTGTGCAGACGTTGAGTGTGGCGCGAGGTCTTACCTTGAATGGTATCAATATCTCGAACGAAATGGATGAGGTATTAAAGGAAAATGAGCGAGCTGAAAAGCGAGCTCGTGACTTGGAAAAAGCTCTCAAGACTACTGAGGCTGACCTCAAGAAGTCTCGAGAGGAACTGGAGACATCCAAGGCTGAGGTCGAGGAAGTTAAGCTCGAGCTTCTCCAGTCCCAGAGGAGCTTTGGCAAAGAGCTCGTAAAGGCTCGTGAGGAGGCTCGAGCTCAGGCTGTTGAAGAATTCAAGAAGTCCGACGAGTTTGGGACCCTGCTAGGACAGTACGGGTCAGGCTCTTACCATTACGGGCTTTACCTTGCCCGTTCTTATCTCCGTACGAAGATGCCTGAGGATTTAAAGTCCCTCGTCGAGGACTTGAAGACAGTGAACGAGCTCGCAGGGGAGCTCGAACTTTCGGCTTTTGAGGTCAAGGATGACGGTAAAGATGATGATGATGGTGATGAAGATGACGCCGGGACTGGAGATCAAAGGGATGATGTCAAGGTTGTAGATATCGATTAGGTTTTTAACTTTGTTTAAAAAATTTTGTAATGTTGCCCGAACTGGGCTGATACTTTTGCTATTAATTTCATCGATCAACATTCACGCACTTTACTTGTTTTTGATTTAATGATTGATTAATGTTTGATCACATTACTGTTTTTAATTGATGAATGTTCGTGCATGCTACGTTTTTAATTTAATGATGAATGTTCGTGCACATGTGTTCTGTTTGTTTTCAATACACAACACTTTTGGACTCGATCAACGCTTCGGTGCTGAACATCAAGCATGTACGAGCTCGATCCTTGATGTTGTCATTGGACCCATAGGTCGATCCAGATGATGAGTTCGAGCTTTTTAGCTTGCTATAACTTGGGCCTTTTTAACTCGGGGTGTTTTGTCAGGCACGGGGCTCAATTCGATGAACACTTCGACCTTAAACACCAGGCATGTCTTAGCTTGATTCTTGATGTAGTCGTCGATGTCGAACTTAGGGGCCCGAAAGTCAGTCCAGATGATGATTTCTAG